GGCGAATACTAACATGGCCGATAGAAACCCAGCTTGGCCAGAAAATCCGTTGCATCATCCAGGAGCCTGGCTTCACCGATGTGGACAAGCAGTTCTGCCAGGACGATCTCGGGTTCCTAGTGGTCGACACACCCGAAGCTTTCTCCATGGTAGACGAAAACACGCTGGTCTTTGGCATCCACATGGAGCTGCAAACCTATTCCCAAGCGCTCCGCACGACGTCTAGTCTACCCACTGTCTTCATCGGCGCTGGGCTGGATGAGTGGGACAAGCTGATGGACGTCGACCCGGAGCTACCAGGCCTCAAGGCCATTCGGGAGATGGACCGCACCTATGACAAGTTCAGCTTCCCGGATATGAACTACATGTTTCACGGGACCACGATTTACTGGAAGAAGGCCGGAGACCCTCCATCTGAACTGGCGGCCATGGATGACGGGTAGGATGTCGTCGGGTTTCGGGCTCATATACAACCGTACCATAGGAACGGCGCTGCAGGTACGTCCGAAGGCCGCAGGAACGAGAGTGAAAACACATCCGACGGATATGTCTGATAGGTCCTCTGGTCGGATGGTCAGCACGCGTGACGTAGCCGTGTAAGATACTAAAAGAGAGGGCGATTTAAGTTCGGATACCTGAACCGATAGTCAGCTCGTAGTTAATTAAACCTGCTGGAGACGCGCTGCGGCCAGCCGCGCTAAACAACGAGCCATCCACACCGCGACTCAACCTACCTACCCAACCAGGAAGCTGTCAACGCACGTTTCGGCCACAGGAAGACAAGTTTCTGTCACCCGTCTCGATTCACAACCCGCCACCGTGATTAAGCAACACCATGGCAGAAAGAAAGCAACCACTGCCTTTTCGACTTCCCGCGGAACGTTGTTCGGCAGCGGAAGCCCCGCACCTGCTGCACCCCCGGACCCGCGCACGCCCAAGCGGAGGGTCAAAGCGCTCGCCGTGGTGAAGCAATTTTGGCGAGATTGCAGCGACCAGGATTCCGAAAGAAGCCATCAGCTCTGGATGCCCAGCCCGCCCAGCTCCGGCATCCCGCTGGGGGACGGGCGGACCGACCGGGGGGGTCTGGGCTGGACGGCGCAGTGAGGCCTTTTGGTGTCGTGGTCAGCCCATCCCGCCGCTCGCAACGTGGTGTTCTTCTTTCCCCTCCTCCCACCGACCGACGACCTCATCGCCGCCGCGCTCCGGCGCAGAGAGAGAAAACAGATCGATTCCACCACGCCGGGCCGCGCAATCCCAATTGACGTCAATTGATCGGATTACCGGGTTCGCGAGCGCGACACGGCTGGGCTGCCGTGCGCCATGGACCCGTGGTATTAGCCGCCTCGATTATCGGAACCGAGAGAGCAGAGACAGATGGAATCGTCGCACACGCGCCAGGGATCTCGCGTCCGCTTCGCCGAGGAGGAGCCCGGGCTCGAGGTGTACCACCCGCAGCCCATCAGAAAGACGCGCGCCCACCTCCCGCCAGCCACGACGGCTGCCGCTGCGGCCTCGGCCCCGGCCGCCGATGCGGGTCCCGGCGTGTACTGGGCCGACGACGTCGACAGCGACCCCAACGCTTCCAAGTACACGTTCTACCGAGAGGGGACACCCACGCCGCCGGAGTACGAGGAGCAGCAGGGCGAAAAGAGCGGGTTTGCGGGTTTCGACTTTGGTGCGCCGGCGACTTCATCCCGACGAACACCGTCACCACTTCACCATGCGACGGTACCGCCGCCGGTTGCGAGCAGGGGAAATCCCGGCGGTGTTCCACCTTTCGACCCAGGGCTGTCCCGCGACTTTGAGTCGCAGAGTTCGGACGACAGCCGGGACGGGGAGCTCCCGGCATCCAAGAAACGACAGATCAAATGGATTATCATCGTGCTTGCCAGTTTATTTATAATAGTTCCGATTGCCATTGGAACCGGGTTGGGTGTGGGGTTGCGGAAGCCGGAGTCGTACAGCCCGGAGGCGGCAGACGGGTTCGTCTCGGCTATGTCGCAGTCTTTATATACGTGCTAACATGTCACATATAGCTCATCAGCTGACGGGTCGACCAACTCGACGACGACTTCACATCCAACGTCATCGCCAACGTCGTCGTCTTCCACCTCATCATCAGTAACATCCTCAGCTTCGCCCACGCCAACGCACGTGGCGTCTAACAACACGCTTTACTATGTTCCGGGGTCGACCAAGACGTTCCTCCAGGTGTGCGGGATCGACTACAGCGGGAACGGCGAAGCTACTGATCTCACATATGTCTACACGGGTAGCATGGCCGACTGTATGAACACGTGCGCCACGTACGACAAGTGCACCGGATGCGGATGGGGTCCGTTGCCGGGTGACCTGGGGCCGCCGCACAGGTGCTGGTTGAAGAAGGACTTGCGGGGGGCGCATGAGGCACGGGATGATTATTGTTTTGGGATATTACAGATGTGACTTTTTTTTTTCGAAACTAAAGGAGTATCACCGTGGGATTTGGGACAGGAAAGGACGGGAAGCGATGAGAAGGAACAGAGACCTGGATGAGTGTTGGATGATAGAACAACAAAAGATACCCCCTGGCACGCCGTATATAGCATACAACTTATGAGCAATATAATAATCTTTCATGTCACGGTCGTGTTTGTAGATTTGAACATGCTAGACCAAAACGATACCTACCTGTACCTAGAATAGTAGCCCTATCCTACACAACATTTTGGTCTCTCTCAGACTGATGCCCTAGGTACCTAGGCACGCGTCTTGGGTAGTACCTTCTCAGCCTCCAACTCGTCAAACACATCGGCCAACGACCTCCACGTATCCTGGTACCCCGTCCACCCCATCTCCCTCGCCTTGCTCATGCTAATAACAAGATCATAGTTCCGGCCGAGAATAAAATCACAAAAAGCCCACGTCGCTTTCTGAAGTCCGTCCCTCTCGATCCCCTCGCGCTGCACGATCCTGTCCCACGCCGCCCGCACGCTGTCCAGCTTGCTCCAGGCCTCGAGATTAATCCGCTGCTCGAGCTTGCTCTCGCCCACCCGGCCGCGGAGACCGATCTCATCAGCGAGGATACTCAGGGGCGGTTTTGTTTTTAGGGTGGTGGTTTTTTGTAGGCCGCTATATTCGTCTCTCTCGGCGTGAAGAAATTGGTTCGGGCGGATTTGCAGTCCGAAACGGCGAGCGACGCGTGGCCACAGATCCTGCCAGCTCTGGACGTCGCCGTTGACGACGTTGAAGGCCTCGTTTGCGGCGCGCGGTGAGGAAGCCGCCCAGAGGCAGAATTGGGCGTGCAGCGGGGCGGAGGTGAAGCTGTCGAAGCGGGTGTAAAACGACTCAGAGCCTGGGAAGGGGAGGAACCCTTTTTCGTTTTGGCTAGACGCTAGTTCTCTGTGGATGGCCGCGAAGATGCCGATGCTGGTGGCTAGATTCATAAAGTTGCCTTTCGCAAAACCGATCACGTCGTTGGGGTAGGTTACCGTCCACGAGATGTGGTTGTGTTTTGGCTCGGCGCAGAAGGATTTGAGGATGTCTTGTTGGACGTAGTAGAAGTTGGGCGGCCATACCGAGGAATCGGTCAGCCACGGGTCGGTCTCGAGCATCGGGTTCTTGGGCTGGCCCAGGTGCACGCCGTATTGTTTCGCGCCCGTGACGAGGACGATGCGGCGGACTTTGGAGGAGGCGTTGGTTAGGTCGAGGGCTTTGAGGAAGTTTGAGAGCATTTTTCCTTTTTTGGGTCGTTCGTATTAGTATTAGTATAATGAAAAGACAGGAAAAAAAATGAATTCAAAACAAAGAGGATAAGGAAAAGGAAAAGGAGAAAAAATACCATTCACCTCGCACGCCTTCTCCTCCTCGGCCTGCTCCATGTACGCCGCGAAGAAGACGTACTCGCCCTCGACTCCCTCAAGACTCTTGGCCATCTCCTCGGCCGACGTGAGCAGGTCGATGGGCCGGTGCACCACGTGCGACGGGTACGAGTCCTTCTGGCTGCGCGAGAGGGCGTACACTTTGCCCCATTTCTCCTGGTCTGCGGCGAGGGCCTTTACAATTTCACGGCCGGTGATGCCTTGAGAGATGAATTTATTAGTTTCTTTGTGTCGTGTTTCTCTCTCTTGGGACTGTGGGGATGACTGGACTGGACATACCGGTTGCACCGAGGACGATCGAGGACGGCATTTTGATTTCTTTTTCAACTCTTCGTAGTTTTTTTCTAGTTTCTGGTCAATCTGAATTTGGGTATGAGAGTATGTTATTAAAACTAGTCTACAAGCAACGGGAACTATGAAAGACATATATCCTCCACATTGGTGGTGTGTAGAGTCTCGGTGGGCGATGACGTCAAGGATCGGCGATGATCCCACCGCAACTGCGTGGCGCTGAATAATATGGCGATAATGCGAATATTGATGGCCTCTGGAAATATGGAGTCGAGAAGATCATTGGGGAAGTGGTGGTTCATGAGATGGTGCTCTGTATAGGTATCGATGGTGGTTACAGATGGGCGCTAGCGCGACTACATTCTTGGCCGAAATGGGTAAAGTTACGAGGTGTAAGTCAAATCCTCCGGGCTGTAAGACGGGTAGTTCCGTTTTCGCTGTGTAGACTTAGAAGATATCCCACGACCTGCGACACAGTGGACGCAGCGAGAGTCTAGGTGGACAGCCAATGGTAAACGGCAGACAACTACATGATTCCGGATACCGGGGTACGGGATACCATTCACAGGTGAGAACGAATTACGTGAATAGGGTGTAAGTCTATCCCATCTGACCTACCTAACCCCTTTTCCATCCAATGCCGTAAACAATCCAACGCCGTAAACAACATGTTTCGACCAAATGCTGGGATACTAAAAGTCCCTAGCATTCGGATACCCGCAGTGTCTGAATTCCCCACAAGAATGTATGCATACGACTGACTCGCCGCCACTCCAAACCAGCGCCCATACCCTAGCGCACACACCTTGATAAGCACAAATTCTGACTCAACAAACACAACAAGCACCAGGCAACGTGGCCGAGCGGTCTAAGGCGCCACGTTAAGGAGATATCCTTGATCATCATCTAGCATTCTGTCTTCAGAAATATAGATTCCGTGGTCCGAAAGGGCGTGAGTTCGAATCTCACCGTTGTCAAGCAATTATTTTTTGTCATATTGCTGGTTCCAGCCGGATGCTGGCATCGTCACCAGCAGAAGTCTTCTTTTTATGTTCCATTAGCTTGTGGAGTATGTCTCACTCTTCGTATTGGCGGCAGCAACAAAAACAAAAACATGACAGAGACAACAACACTAGATGGCCTCGTGATGTTTGGCTCCGCACCGGCTGGCGCGACGCATGACATCCCTCCATGCAGCATGAGCGAGCATTCGCCCATCAAAGCATACCACTTCGGACCGAACCTAAGTGGGCGGGCATCTACACCAGCCATCCCTTCATCAGATTGGCCGACACCTGCGGACGCGGTGGGACGATCTGGGGATTGGACATGGGGAGGGCGCAGCATCTCTCCCTCCTCCTCCTACCTAACTACCTACCTATTCCTGATAGGCATCCCTTTGGTCATAATTGCCCCGAACGTATCAGGTCGCCGGGATTGGGGGCCGCTACCTCGGTAGTCTGGAGGGGTGGTGCCATCGGCCAGAAGCTCTGTACGACTCACCAGGTGCTCTGTCAACTTTCTTGACGGATACCGTGTGGATTTCTGTGGCCGCCCGGGCAAACATGTCTTGGAATTGGCCGTCGCCACGCCCAGAGACAGGATACTTTACCTCGGCATCTTGGGCGTCAGGTGTGCGGCCCTTGACCGGTCGTGGACAACTCGGTATATTACCTGCAGTTGACTGACGTAGGGGCTTCCGTACAGCGTCCCAGATGCTCGGCTCACATCGCCCTGCTTCGGGATAACGAGATGGGAGAAAGTAGTGCAACGACGGCTTGGCAGGTACGTACCAGACATCTAGACGAAAACCTCGTAGCAAATTGCCCTTTCCATTCACCGACTCTTCCCGTGACCCCAGTGTTCTGGATTCCGGCCTGGTATGAACCACAAGGTGCTCCGAATAAGAACCTCGCAGGAAAATGTCGTCAGTTCTCGTGTCGTCCTCTGCCCGGAGGAGCGTGGCTGAGGCGCGTCCCAAAAGCACCGGCTTCGCCGCCCACCGTGACACGGACGGAATACTATCCAAAACCCGCTCTCGTTTGCTTCCGTCGCACAGCAGTGATGCGCCTGCTTGGTCAGGTTAGGCTTCGCCCTGACCGGTTGCTGTTCACACCTTTTCGACAATGAGACCCATCGGGGGAGGGTGCCTGGATCAAAATAAAGTAGACTAAGTCCGCAGAGGGCCGGGGACTTGTTGCCTGACTGGCTGGCTTCGTCGAGCTCGTGCACCACACGCCGCAAGACGTGCTGGTTACCACGTTGTATCCCGGCGACCTGAGAACCGCGGCATGGGGGGTAAAAACCAAGTCGATAGGGCTGAGGGGGTGCAATATTCTCTCTCTTCGCCTCTGCTTGCTGCAGCAGAGCCTCGATGCCGCTTATGGTTTCCTCTGCTGCTTGGCGGGATGCACCGAACCACCTGCTCGCCGTTTCCGTCGACATACACCTAGGCATCAGAAAATATGGCCCGACTGAGTTCGGCGCCCCCATCTGATATAAGACCCGGCGGTGCCGCTGAGTGCCTGCTTGGAGACACTTGAGTTCCCTAATTTGCTTAGCAGCTCGCTTCATCTGACACATGAGAATGGATTCCCTCCATATGCAACACCAAGGACAAGCTGTCGCGACTCCTTTACAAACAGCTCCCTCCCACCACAGCAATGGCCAAAAGACCAAAGTTCGGCAAATATGGACACCCGACGAGGACCGCGTCCTGTCTAGGGCTGTTGCAAAAGGTCGGTGCCAGTCCCCACCCTTGTGCCACCTCGCTGACGCTCTCGCAATACCGCAGAAACCCCTTCGCACGGTACCATCAGCTGGCACAGAGTTGCTGCACATCTCCCCGGCCGGAATAACAAGGACTGCCGGAAACGATGGCATTACAGCGTCTCTCATACCATCAAGAAAGGGACGTGGACCAAAGACGAAGACGAAAAGCTTTTGAAGGCTGTCGAAAAGTATGGCGCTCGTTGGAGCAAGGTAGCTGCTGTGGTGGGCTCGCGCAACGGAGGTGAGGATCATCTGCACAAATCGGCTGGGCTCGACCGACTGACTGTCGTGGTAGACCAGTGCTGGAAGAGGTGGTATGACTGTCTCGATCCTCGCATAGACAAGAGTCCCTGGACAGCTGAAGAGGTGAGAATCATCGGACGTTCCGTGTATTGACAATCCTGCTGACAGTCAACTCAGGATGGAAAGCTCTTGCAAGCAGTCGAAGCAGTGGGACGGAATTGGTCCGAGATTGTGACCAACAACTTTCCCAACCGGACGTCCTTGTCGGCGAAGAACCGATACAGCATCCTGCAGCGGCGTCGGGACCACGCTGTTGACGCCTGGGTCGTGACGCAGAAAGCTAACGCGTCTGCCGCGATGCCGACAGACAACCTAACCCCTTTCCAAAACCCGGAGACGTCGTATCTCTCTCCATCAACGGCGGCCTCGGGTGCGGTCCCGACCGGATACGACGCCGCGAGCAGTACGGATTCGCTGCAGCAGTCTCCGTCTATGATCGCAGACAACTGGTACAGCGACGACTTGCTCAGCGAAACATCGACTCCAGCCTTTTCGCCCGACCTCAGCTGGGCGCAATGGAGTCCGTGTCCGTCGACTCTCGCGCTGTCCAGCTCTCCACAGACATTCGCCGCCGAGCCGTGTGCGAACTTTGATGTTCCGTTATACCCATCTTCAAGCGTCTATTCAGGCAACCTCTTTGGGTCCGACTTTGAGCCCAGTCCTTTTGTCGGCGGCGATCTTAGCTTCGCTCCCGGCGGTCCCATGCCGTCAATCCAGGTGTACCCGCCAGCACAGACGGGCAGGCCGATGTCTCAGGGGTTAGAGTATATGTTTCCAGTGTCTTGGGAGAGCTGACGTCTGGCCCGCCGGAAAGGCATTTCTCGGGTTGGGCCGTGGAGTCGTGTAGGTTGGCGAAATTGCTTCTGTGAACGCTTTTCTCGTATGGAAGGTTGCTTCTTTCCTTGGTGTTCGGGTGCATTAGCAATAACTCTCCTCTGTTGATGGCTGTTGTTTGGGGCAGCCCAGTAAGGCCATAGAATATCCCTTCGACGTCGCAAAAGGCAAATTGCACAAGAAAATCCGCGGAGGTGGGTGCAAAGAAGTTTGAGTCAACATGAAAGAGCCGAAAATGGGACAACGGTTGCAGCACTGAAGTGTAAAAAAAGATTATTGCTGGACATGACACCTTGCCGTCTGGACAGCATGTAAACCGAAGCCGAACAGTAGAATCAAGGTTGTTTGTTCGTTGCCGTTGGGGAGGATTGAAATAGGAGAACCCTAACCCTTGAACCTTCCGGGTTCCGGACGCTGGACCTGGCCGATGTGGGGTGAGCAGGGGTCGAGCTTGTGTCGAGCTCCAGCGCGTCACACCCCGCCAATTCAACTCAAGTGCCGCTCCCACTCAAGTTCCAGCATTCGCGACTACAGCTTTACATCAGGCTTTCTATTCACTAAAACCCACACTCCTTGCTGAACTCCGTAATCTACCATAAAATCGAAATGGACGACGAATACGGCAGCTCAGAGAACGAGCAGGATGAGCTCATGGAGGAGCAGGACGAGCTGGATCCCGACAACGACGCCGAAGAGGAAAACGAGGACGAAGACGAGGAGCAGGAAGAGCAAGAGGAGCCAGACCAAGAACCTGAGCCTGAACCCGATCAGGAACCGGAACCGGAAGCTACCGAATCCTTCGACGAGACAGCCGCCGCCGACGGGCAACGCTCCCAAACCGGAACAGATGGTGACCCAGCAGCCCGACGCGCCTCGGCCGCTGGCCCGTCTAGCCCACTGATTGCTTCGAAATGGCGACCGATGATACGGCAAGAATATCTCACGGCACCCCTCTACGACATCGTGCCCACCATGGCCGCCCCGCAAGCCACCAGCATCAACGCCATAGCCATCACTCCCGACCTACGGTACTGGATAACGGGCGGCTCGGACGGATACATCAGGAAATACGACGGCATGGGCACAATAAACGGCCGTCAGCAGCTCACGGTGGCACAAAAACACCCATTCGTTGACAGTGTCGTCAAGGCTGGCATTCTGATGAGCTACTGGGAGAACGAGGAGCCGGCGCCCCCCAGCGCGCGCGCCGATGAGCGCATCCTCTCGCCCGTCTACAGCTTGGCCGTGCACAAGGATGCTTTGTGGTTGCTGAGCGGCCTGGAAAGCGGGGGCATCAATCTCCAGAGCGTGCGGCATGACGAGGGCAAGAGGATTCACTGTCTGAGGGAAGGCGGCCACACCAACGCCGTCAGCGTGCTCCAGCTCGCGCCCGACGAGAAAAGCGTGGTCAGCGGTGGCTGGGACAAGAGCATCATTGATTGGGATTTAAATACTGGGGGCGTGATCCGACGATTTGACGGGAATGGCGGCCAGATCTCGGCCGTCGAGCTCCGGCCCGCTTGCGGAGCGCCGGTGCCCGCCGAAGCGAGCGAGCCCGACATCAAAAGCGAGACATTTGATGGGAATAACAACAAACCGCCCACAAATAGCTTCTTCATGAACGGGTCGACCGATGACGTCGGCGCGTCGAGTAAGGGTCTCGACATGGGAGGTCCACCATCAGATCATGATGGATCGCTGTTCGGCAGTCCCGCGGGATCCCTATTCGGGGATAACGACACGATGGGTGGTGGCGGCGCGTTCGGCAATGATGAGGACGATGGTTTCTCCGGGGCCATGGACATGGGGTTGAACGACGATTCCACCCAGGGGATGGGCCAGCCTACCGACTTCCCGATGGCCGACGGCGATGTCAACGGTGTCGGCGTGTCCACAGCTGCGCCAGTCACCGGCCAAGAAAACGGCGATATAGCTTCGGGAAGTACAACGCAAGCCATGGATATCAGCCAAGGTATGGGTGACACGCAGGTACCACCAGGCAGCCAGATCCGCGAACAAATCATCGAAGCGCCTGCCGAGCCCCCTCCCCACCCGGCCAACATGTCTC